GAGGCTTCACCAGAGACAGTGGGGAGCAGAACAGGCAGATCGACGAAGCACACTGCTGAGGGGAGCAGCGGGCGGGTCAGGAGAAGTCTGCCACGCCATGGTCACCTCCGGGGCAGGCAGGAATCCAGCTCATGCTGCAGTGCCTTTAGCTTCTCAGTGCTGTGCTTTAACCCGCTGCGCCGCTAGGGAGGACTCCTACTGGTGCTCTTTATGTGCATTTTAGTTACTGACTGTATAAAGTTCTTTAGTAGTTATCTAAGTCAAATGATTAGTGGTGAATTTTCTCAATTCAAATTTATATGGAAATGTAATTTTCCATACATACAAATAGGAGTTTTCATTTTTATGGAAGTTTTGATGAATATAGAACTCTTGATTTGTAAGCTTTTCTTCCACCATTTTGAATTATGTTGTGTTACCACTTAATGTTCTGTATTTTTTCTCTCATCTAAAATTTTCTTAAATATTAGCTTTCTTTTTTTCTTTCCATCTTTCCTTCATTCTAAAGTGTTACATTTGTAGTCATTCTCAGTTTTATGTGGCTCACTAGACAACGGATTAATTCTTATAGTAATGAATTACATTATTTTGTGACTGAAAACTTAGTCTGCTCTTCTTGATAGTTTTATCAGGTTATAGATTGTTAGGTTAACTGTTATTTTCTGAAGGTAATATCTTGACATTGTTTTTTACTGAAGAAGTTTTTCCTCCAGTCTGATTATCTTCGGTGGTAGTTGTAAGTCTGGATTTTGTTATCTTCTTTCTTATCTTTAGCTGTGGATTTCCGTTTATTTATCCTGCTCACAACTGTGATTGCAATTTATGGGTTCATTGCTTTAGCTCTGAAATTCTCAGCTGTTATTTAAATAGTTTCTATACCTCAGTTTCTTTATAAATTTCTAGGACTTATGTTTGACTGGTGCTTCTCATTTTGTCCTTTAGCTTTCTTTCTTTCTTTTTTTTTTTTTGTTTCCATCTTTCCTTCATTCTGGTTTATATGTAATTGGGGCGGTCACTGAGTTGACTATTAGAGGAAACTAGGAATATAAACATTTAAATTAGAATTAGCATTGTGGTCCTTGCTAAAGGTGGACAAACCAATGGGTGTACACAGCCAGCTTTGACCCTCCAGTTTTGTCATCTTCTCCTATTTGGCCACCCTGAGATCCTGACTCACTTTCCCAGCACTGGCCAGCAGACTTTACATTCGGACATGTGGCTCCCTCCTCCTAGTGTGGTCAAGGCTTCCATCCTCCCTCATACTCTGGAGTGTGCCTGCTGGGCATACAACTTGATCTTCTGGAATGAATCCCTTCAGTGAAGCTACATGAGCCTTGATCTGGGTGACCATCTCTGGCTGTCACCTAGAGGGTGTGAAACTCCTGGATTCAGACAAAGAGCTGCCTCTGCTGTGAACAAGAATGGGCACACAGCTGGGCTTATTGATTTTGACCTTTTAAAAAGTCATTTTCTTCCCTCCTTTCCCCTGTATGTACACATTTTAGTAAATTGTCATTTAAAAGAAATTGATAGACATAAAGGTCTCTTAGAACTGGAATTTTGATGTAATGGAATCACCTTTAGGAAGGGATATTATGTATAAAACTGGTTAAAAACTTTGGCTTTTGAGTTTGGGTTTCAGTTTTGTGTAAGGATCAAAATGCATCATGACTACTAGCACTGAGTGAAGGAGTCAGGAGCACACTAATCTCTTTGTTAAGTGGATGTGCACTAATTATGAGACCACTGTCACTCTTGAACTCAAATGGAAAGTGGTTCTCCTTTTCAAAGCAAATGATTACATAGTTTTAAACTTTATTGATAATAGAAGCTAGTTGCAAAAAAGGTCCCTAAAGAAATTTCCACTCTGTCTTGGCTATAAAACATCTGAGCTTCTGGGTGGACCTGTTAGACTTAAGTAGTCCACACAGGGGAAAGGGACTGCTGATTTTTATATACACTGGAGTTTATTCCCTTGGTCTCTGATATTTTCTTCATACTACATATTTCTCAGTTCCAGGTTTTTCTGAAAATCTTTATGGCAAGTATTCTGATACATCTCCCCCTACTCTTTGAAGTCTGGGCGAGGTTTCTTCAGATAACCTTTTGTAGTTATCTTTCTGGGAGTTGGCTTGTATACTTTTTTCCTCCTTCACGCTTAATTTGTATATTTTTATCTTTTATATTCCTTAATTATTTTAATGATAGCTTAGATAAGAAAAAGTTTAATTTTTGTTGTGATAAACTGTGATGTTAGCCTGCCAGGTTGAATTAGAAATTTACAGAATTTGAGAATCATTTTATTGAATTAAAAAAAACATAACACTATTATGACTTACATCAAATGATTCATTTACATAGGTATAACGGATACTTTTATAGTGTTGAGTGTTTTGTCCACAGAACAGATGGTCTCCATCTTCTGTGTCTTTTTACAAAATGCTCTTTCATTTAGATATTGTAAATTTCATGTTAACTTTCTCAATATTTTGCATAAATCCATGTTTATATAGATAGTTTTCTTTTATAGCTCGCTCTTTCCCTTTTCTGTTGAGCTTTGCAGATGCTGTTTTTGGTTTGCATGCAGTTTCTTCGTTTTCAAGTAGAGGGGTCCTCAAGACACCACCTTCAGGCTGGCAGATTCCTTGGAAGGACTCAGGATTCAGGAAACTGTTTATACACACAGTGGCAAAGGATATTGATTAAAATTAGCAAATAGAAAAAGATGTGGAAATCTAGGAGAAAGCAGGCAGATTCAGGTGTCTCCTTCTAGTGGAGTTGCCCCGGGAGGTGCTTAATTCTCCTGCAACTGTGTGTGACAACACGCATAAGGACGCTCCTCAAGCCTCTGTATCTAGGATTATAGTTGAGAAATGAGGTGTAGGGGTTGCAGCTTTTCAGGCAGGAGCTTTTTACCACCCTCTCAGATTTCAGCACCACCCCCAACCCCCTTTCACTGTGTGTGTGTGTGTGTGTGTGTGTGTGTGTCTTTTTCTGTCAGTCTATCTCATACACATGTACACACTGGCTGGCTGGTGCCTCATGCATACAAAAATACTCTTGCTCCTGCAGACTTACTCCAAGTGTTCGAAGGTCCTCTCCCAGGAGCCACCCAAAGATTAGTATGGAGGACAGGCTTTTCTTAGGATTATGAAGGGCTTCAGGAACCTAGACCGGCGAAGACAATTTTTTCTTGCATGCATGAAAATGAATGTTAATTCTTAAAGACTGTTTGGTCATCTCTTCAGTGAATTCCTGACTGATTCACTGTAAGAAGTTAGTTGCTCCTGAACTTATACTACAACTTCTGTAATTATACTTGCTTAAAGCTTTATAAACTCAAATTCTGTTTGTTCCTTTTTTCCTCACCATATTATTTCTTCCTTTGATATGAAAAACTGTTAGCTTTGAGCATGATTTTATAATGCCTTTCGCATTATAAAAGCAGTTTTTTGTGGAACTATCATCTTCCAGTAAATCATCAAAATGACCCACACAAAGGGAAAGTGGGAGGCACTTGATAGATCTTCTCTATGCCTAAGAAAACATGGAGTTGTTCCTTTGGCCACGTACATAGGAATCTATAAGAAAGCTGATGGTGATGGTCACTTTTCAGAAAAGAATACCCCATGGATGTCATGGGAAGAGTCTCTAATGTTAACCAGCATGCAGTAGGTATGGTTGTATAAAACAGAGGGCAGAATTCTTTCCAAAAGAAGTCATGTTTGTATTGATCTTACTAAGCTAAGATAGCTTCCTGAAACTTGTGAAAGAAAATCACCAGAAAAAATGGGACCAAACAGAAAGGTACTTGGGTTCTGCTGAAGCACTAGCCTGTTCCACCCAGAGAACACTGTGAGAACCAGTGGAGAGGGGCCTGAGCTGTAGAAACCATTCCCTGTGAATTGACGGCATGATGGGTTTGGCGGGGCGGGGAGAGGTTACCTGGAGTAATAACATTTCTTTGTTTTCAGATATTAACTGTAAATTTAGCTATGTATATATGTCTGATGGGAGGCTGATAGTCCTACTTTTAGAGTGATATGACACATTTTCATTTTCCATTAGAACAGTTACATAAAATTGTGTATTTTACTGGCAAGTCTTGCAGATTGTTTACATCCTAGTTTTATTATGTGTGGTGCTTCCGAGTACATACTTGTATAAACTAAAAGTTACATATGAGTCCTGAACCCACTATTGAAAGCAAGGATTGTGTCATTTATACTACTCTTCATTTTATGGCTGACATAGTAATTGGTTTGTTATATTGACTGTGGTGCTTTTTTTTTTACTACTTTTAACTTTAACATGTCACCCTTTACAGGTTTATCTGTTAACACTGGCAGTTAAGACACAGATAATTTTTCTTCTCACATTAGTATGAATTCAAATAATTCTGAAGAAAGTCAGAATTTTATATGATAGATTGTGTATTTCTATTGCTGCTCTAACAAAATTGCTGTGAACTTGGTGACTTAAAATAACATACATTTGAAATCAGTTTTATTGGGATACAATCAAAGTGTCAGCATGTCTGGTTTCTTTTGGAGACTCTGAGGAGACAATCTAGTTTCTTGTCTTTCTTCATCTTACAGTAACTATCTCTCTTGAGTTGTGTCTCTTTCTCTGAGAGGCATTGCTTCAGTCTCTGTTTCCATTTTCAGTTGCCCTCTCCTCTCCTGTAGTCTTAATTTTTCTCTGTTTCCTTCTTAGAAGTATCACTTGTGATGAGATGACATTTAGGGGTTACCAAATAATCCAGGACAGCATTGCAGGGGCTTTCATTTAATCACATATGTGAAGCTGCCTTTGCTGAATAAATTATTAACAGGCTTGAACTATTAGGACTGAAATAGCTTTTGGGACTATTATTCAGCCAGTCACATAAAATAAAGAAACATTTCCTTTATTTTTTTCTCCACGTCAATGCTTGTTTTCTCTTCCTAAATAGGCTGTTGTTTCCCTCAACAACTCGGTGGATTAGTCAACTCTTAAAAGATCATTTCTTTGGTCATGTATAAATTACATGTGGGCCTCATGTGCAATCACCTTATTTTCTCCTGAAGAGTGTTGTTAATTTTGTTGTTTTGTGTTGTAGTTGGTGTAATACGGTGTCCAGTATGCCGCCAAGAATGCAGACAGATAGACCTAGTGGATAATTATTTTGTGAAAGATACCTCTGAAGCCCCTAGCAGTTCTGACGAGAAATCAGAACAGGTATGCTTCCTGATTTTTCTTTATGCTTCTTTCTTCATGTAAACTGTAAGACTGTTATAAGAAGATGTTTGGATAGTTACTTAATTTAGGGTGGTTCTGCTATAGTTCCATCATTCAAATGGGAAAGTATGATCTTTATTCTGCACCCTCAGACCTGTTCACATGAGATTAGATGTCATTAATTAAAAATTCAAATCTTATATAAATTTTGTGTTCTGAAACATAGATTTTTAACTCACCTGAATGCTTGATTTATAAGGCAAAGAATTCTGTTTAAGATAAGTGGCTAACCAAGTAATTTTATTCTGGGTGCAGTGAGTTAGTATATTTGAAAGCAAGTATATTAGGAAGTTTTCGTGTTGTGAATCTTTCATAAATTTAATGTAGATTAGTATTTATTTCCTCTTTTAGGTATGTACTAGTTGTGAAGACAATGCAAGTGCAGTTGGCTTTTGTGTAGAATGTGGAGAGTGGCTGTGTAAGACATGTATTGAAGCACATCAAAGAGTAAAATTCACTAAAGATCACTTGATCAGGAAGAAAGAAGATGTCTCAGGTAAGATAGAAGCAGTTTTAAAGGTTACCATTAATCTCCCTCTTGCTTTTGTATCATTTTTACTTTATAAGCTTTATTTACCAATATCGAAAATTTAGAAAGTTACATCAAAAATTTGTTTAGTTTAAAAAAATATGTTTATTTTGCTACAGAATCGGTTGGAGCATCTGGTCAGCGCCCTGTTTTCTGCCCTGTACACAAACAAGAACAATTGAAACTTTTCTGTGAAACATGTGATAGACTGACATGTAGAGACTGTCAGCTATTGGAACACAAAGAACATAGGTACAGAAGTCATAATTGCTTAACAAGAAATACCATTAAAATTTGTTGTAAATTGATTATTCTTTCTAAAGCAAATATTTATTCCTTATTTTTGTCTATTAGCATTTTAATTGTCAGCTTTGTTTATTTCTTGATAAGTTACTTAGTGGTTTCCACATTCATATCTACTTCTGGGGAGTATTTGTTAGAAATGTATCATGTGGGTTTGGGTGTTCAAGAATGGGATATTATTTCTTGTTTGCTATGCCTCTGGTACTAAGAAGCTTTTTCAAGTATATGGTACTATTTTAGCTATGGGCAGTCATCTAAAAGGGTAATATTCCCATGGGTATGGATAACTGATAATTGTATTATTAATAATAAATTGTAAATGTAACAGATTTTGTTAGACAATTTGCAGAAAAGCTAAGGGTTTATAAAGTCTTTAATACATTGCTGTATTTCAACCATAGTTTATCCTCAGTTCAATCAAACTCTTCCTAAAACTGCTGAAATCTCTAGTTGTGCTATTACAAAATACTTCAGTGGATTTCCCCAGTTTTTATGACATCTGTTCTAAAAGTGGGTAGGATAAGATGAATAATCACACTTAAATGTATTTCTTAACTGTAGGATGTTTTAAAACTTTAATTTGTTAGATACATTCACATTCATTAGGGAGAATATGTTGTAGCAATTATGCATTCATAATTTGTGCCAGGCATTTTATGAATGTTGCATGTCTACTTAATTCATACCAGTTTCCCATGAAATTAGTTATTGGTTTCATGATTGTTTCAGAGATAAGGGATCCTACTCACAGAAAGCTTTAGTGGTCTGTGCAGTTTCACTGTAAGTGGCAGAGCTGAGATTTGAACACAGGCAGTCAGACTCCAGGTCTTGTATTTAGCCTGTATGTTTATTTTCTTCCTATATGATATATAGAGTAAGGAATACAGCATATGGGATCTCTCAGACTTGGTCATGTAGAGTAATGCCTTCTGTTCTTTATCAGTTATACAGATGATTTTTGTAGAAATGGGCTATTATCAACCAACCTGGAAGATGGTTGATGTTTTGCTTGAAGTGACTGATCTTGTGTATTATCACTATTGATTATATTGTAATAATTTCGGTAAGAGGCTAGGTTGCCTTTCTCACCACTGCAGCCAGGTCTTTGAATACTTAGATTTCTCATGGCTTTTTAAATTGATGTTGAGCAGAGGAAAAAAAGGGAAGATGGTATCCATTTGTTAAATGTAACTTTTTTTTTTTTT